AAAATGCAAAACTCGAAAACTGATGTTTAAACTGACCTTGAAGCACTAACAAAAAATAATGGGAGCCTAACTTTATACATATGAAGTAGATGTTTTATATATATACAATCATGAACCCTAGACTCCTAGAGGGAGCAGGCTGTGCAGGCAGCGCAGCCTGCGCAGTAAATTCAAAAATCTTCGATTTGCCCATCACTAGTGATATCACCTCTATATATTGTCTATATATTGTATAATTTTAAAAAAAAACCTAGAATCAGACTTTAGGACTAGAATTAGGTTAGGGTAAGTTTTTTAGGGTGTTGAACATTTTTATTTAGTACATCAAACACAATTATCTAGATTATTTTTGAGAGATAATAGAAGTAGGTGATATAACCCTGGGTTGAAGTTAGCAAAACTCTTTTTTTTTTTTTAAAAAAAAAAAAAAAAGTATACAGAATTGTAAAGATTCAAGGGGAAAAAAACCAAAAAATAAATTATGAAAAAATTATTATATGCCGATACTACCCAGGCCACAAGCTAGTGCCTTAATCGGATTTGTTGTGTTAGGACCAATTGCAATTCCAATGAAGTATCCCTGCGGCAACTCGTTTGTTAAATCATATTTTTGGTCAAATTTGAACTCTTTAGTTGGACATTTAGTTTTAGTATCCTTGCAAATATTTAAAAGTCTGCCGAATATGAAATTAAGATTTATATCGAAAATTGCAAAACCGAAGAAATCGACATCTGTAATATCCTTGTTGGTTGTCGCTGAACCATTAACCTCGAGTTGAGAATTAGTTTTTGGAGTAAGTTTTACATCACTGATTACTGTAGTATATGGTGGTGGGTTAAATAGCGTCGGACATTGCTCAAATTGAGTGGCTTTTTTAGTCAGTTGATACGGAAAACCATTGACCATAGAAAATGCGGCCAAGAAAACGAATAACAAGACAAAATTTCGGATCATGGCTATTGTTTTTTAAAAAAAAAGTTAACAAAAAATTTTTGCTATATAAGAATTTTTGAGTGTAATTATTATATTATTTTTATTATTTAGTTTTTAGTTTTTTCTTGTTTTAACTCCGAAGCGAAGTGAATTATTGCCTTTTCATAAGGAAAAATCGGTCATCTGACTTTCATAAGTTCGTTCTTTCAAAGTTTTATTTGACAATTGACAAAAAAAAGGAAAGAAAAAATTAGAATATTCAGAAAGTTTCGAAAAGCTACGTATGAAAAAAAGGAGCTTACATGATTCCCTGACAATCATTTTACGACATCAAATATCTACCAAGGTTGTAATTTATGGTAAATCATCAAATTGGTAAGTTACCAGTAAGTTACCGTAAGTTACCGGTGCCAGTAACCTATATGTGTTTTATGTCGACCATCACGACGAATATTTCCACAAGTTTACCATCAAAAATTCATGGTAGCTTACCGGTAATTTACCACGGTAACTTACCATGGTAAGTTTACTACTATCAACCTTGACTTCTACCAATGCTAACTCTAGTCAAATACTAAAATCGGGCAGTCGAGAAATGATTGTATATTACCGGTAAAAAGATTTTACGAAAAAAAAAGAAATTCATATAATCATGCAGTTCATCACATTTAATTGAGCGTCCTCCATGAAAATCACACATGCCCGATATCTCCTTTTTTACTAAAGCGGAAATGATCATAGTAAAAAATTTTTATAGCAAAAACTTTCTGCGCCCGCAAACGTAATTTTCCCGCAGTAAAGTTATTACATTTTTATGATTACATTCGTCAGCCCGATTACTATATATTCGAATACAATTACTACATTCCTTACGTATTGCCACATTAACGTCTCATTTCTCTTCACTTACTACATCTTTACTCATACTTGTTCTTCATTACCATATTTTCGTTATAATTATGTAGTCTTGACTAAATCGCTTGAAGAATGGTGATTTTAGAAATTTAGAATATATAAATGGGCATAGTTTTGTGTGAAGGAAGGATATATAATATAGATCAACCTGTATATCGAATTCTCATCTGTAAATAACAAGATTTGTATAACATCTCTAATAAAATACTCACCCACATAATTTGGATACGTATCATTTCACCGACAATCACTTCACCGACATCTTAGTTCACCGACAATTAATTCACCGACAAATTTTTTTTATAAACTACACTAACCTTAACTCTAATTCTAGCCTGACCTTAACGACAATGGCCAGAATTACTTTGTTTGTGAAATGAGCTGTCGGCGAATTAATTGTCGGTGAAATGAACTTGTCGGTGAATTATTGTCGGTGAACTAAGGTGAAGTGATTGTCGGTGAAATGAGCACCACCCCATAATTTATGCTGTGCCCAAAGCTAATTTGCTATACATAAATATTGCATTTCCAATTTTAGGCATAACATTTTGATGCTGATTGTGTGTGGGTTGAGCAAAAGCCAAAGTTATACTGTGTTAAAAAAAGAAAAACAAACAGGTTGAATTTGTGAATAATAGTAAAACTGTTAATAAAAATAGAGGTTTTTGCAAAATTGAAACTAGCTTAGTAAATGAAAATCAACCCAACAATCTGAACAGTTAGCTTCATCAATTGATACAGGTCATGGTGAATGTTCTGGTACAACCTCAGGATCCTCGAGTAAATTTTGAAAAATTAAATTATATAAATATCTTGATTTTTGCAAGAAAAATCTAAAATTTAATAGAGTAGTAACCTTGTTAGCAGAGTTTTGAGGCTAATTACATTGTAAAAGTGAGAAGGCTAATTGTTATAGGTATTTATTTGTCAGGCTTAGCTGCATATTGTGAGAAAATATAAAAAATAAAGAACTAAGGATTTTGTATTAAAACAATAACTATACTTTTAAACAAAGTTTTATATATTAACATCAGCTAAATTTTTGCATCTAAATATTGATTGCCCAGTAGAATACTGGTTGTTGGCTTGTCAAAAATATTTTGAAGAAACTGTAAACCAATATAATATCAATATGTTGGTATTATTTTACTAAATAACAAAAGTAAATAGTTAATACTCTAAGGTTAAAAAGTCTAAATGTTTGTATAAGATCTTTGCTCTTACTTGTTCTTGGATATGGGGTTCTTTTTGTTTAGTATACTTCAAGGGGCTATAGAAAGGGTCTAGATATATAAAATAATATTACGCATAGATTAACTATATGTAGCTCTGCTATAATTTATAATAAAGTAGTTAGTACAGTATAGCTGTTTGCTTACAATTATTTCAGACTATATCTTTTTTAACACAATTATCAATAAGTAGTTTAACAAAATAAGTAGTTACTTTGCTTTAAGAAGTTGTTTTTGTAATAAAAAACAATAATAATAATAACAATTAGTTTTATCTTCTTTTACAAACAAGAACTTTTAAAAAAGCCAAATTAATTCAAAAATATTAGGAGATATTGGTATTGTTTTTAAATTAGCCCAACTATAAGACTTATTTGTATAATCTTCTATAGCTTTTGTGTTATTACTATTACACATAGTGCCTACACTCTATAATTAGTGCTTCTTTTGAGAATTCTTATTTTAGAACTATATTTGCACTTAGTCTTTTCACAAGCCTTTGCATCTGATTATAGTTTTATTTTAAGTTACAGTAACAAATTCAATAATTTGCTACCAATATAACTTGAACTATTAACCTTGTCTGTGAAGGTTTGAGTGTTTAATCAATAAGCTATAAAGCCTAAACCTATTTACAATTATTGATAGATTTAACAATCTATATTTCTTTATATTAACTTATTACTTCTAATAATATTTATCACTATTACATTGTATATTCATATTCTAAGAACTTACATCTTTTTTTAAATTGCTATTCTCTACAAATTTTCATAGGTTCAAAATCTAGACAACTTTTTTATAAACCATTCTAGTAGATTTAAGTTGCAAATAAATTAGAATTTCTTTAAAAAAGTTTTTAATAGTCTGAGTTTTATTCTTATAAAATTTTTTGTAACCTAGCTAGAAGGTTCTTCAATACAAACTATTAATAAAGATAATGACAAAATCTCACCTTTAAAAAAAAATAAATCAATAAAAATTTAAAATTACTAAGTATTTAATTTAGTAACTTTAAACAAAAAAATAAATACTAACAAAATATATATTTAAAATTTAAAACTATGTATATAATTACTTTTTTAAATAAATTAGACCTATAAATTTTAAATATAAATAATAGTAAATCATCTTATTATCTTATAAAATTAAAGTTATTTTAAAAAATATCTCAATATATGACTATTATAAATATGGTTAATTATATATGAAATACCTAAATTACTATATTAAAATTACAGATATTTCATATATATACAGGCATAAGTAAAGTTTTTGCTAATATTCAAGAGATCAAGATATTTTTATTACAGAATTATGCTGAAAGCAATCATGACTAAGCTTACAATCAGAGGAGAGACTTTGTATTTACTAAGCCAATTTAGCTTAGAGTTATAAGCATTAAAGAGATAACTAAGTATTTATTGGAAGCCCTAATTTTCCCCACTACTTCTGATTAGATACTGCAATATTGCCTCTAATTGGGTGAATAATCACATTAAAATTAGCAAAAAAATTACTGTTATAAATACTTTAGCCTTTTGAATTATAAATAAATAAAGTTTTCATTGAAAACCAAACAAGCTTTTAATCTTGCCATTTGTTTCAGACATTAACTTCAAAAAAAGTTTTCATTAAGCACATTTTTTTGATGTTTTACTGAAAACTTATAAGCTTTTAGAAATTTTAGAACACTATTATTAATTTACTAATGTTATATATATATAATTTTATATATGTGATTATATATATATAATTTTATATAATCTTTTTTTTAATAAGTCAGTTAGTATCCAAAAAAAGAGTTGAAAATAACATTGGTTTTTTTTTACTCTGAAAAAAATCTGATATAGTATAAGTTTGCTTGAATATATATTGTGAAAAAATATAATTAATAAATCTAACATATATGCTATAACAAAAAAAGATTAGACGCAAATTACTAACTCTTCCCAACGATCACTTGTACCAAATTTTTCTTAAAAACAATTGCTATTTTCTCAAAATTTTATTAAGTA